GGTAGCAGGCCATGTCCAATGTTAACCAGTAAGTTCTAAGACCAAAAGGATTAAATGATTTTGGAGAGGGCTGTTTCTGTGATTATTCCCAGTTCAAATTATACATGATCCAAAAGCCAGAACGGTTCACTATGCTTATTTTTCAAACCACAGCTCAAAATGCAGAATTTTAATCTCTAAAGAAAAATGATTTTAGGCAACAAACAGAGGAGGTAGCCATGAAAATTTAGATAAATGTAAATGTGTTAAATGATACACGCTCGAGTCAGGTTTCCATGATTTATCAGTTTTAAACTTCAAAGACTCTGGTTAGCTTGTATTTATAACACTAATGCGTTTATCACAGCTAGTGGGGAAAATGGTTAAAGTATATCAGCTATAAATTGGTACAAAGCACTAAAAGGGACATTAGCCACTAATCAGATTCGAACAGTTCATTAAACTGGCCTTTTCCAAATTGCTCTTTTGTCTCTTTTTTTCCATCCCCTTCTGTGTGTGCCTCCTGCACAAGAAAGTCTCTTCCCTTCTTCATTTGGGTAAGACCCTAGAAATATGAGGCAATATCATCTCATTGTTCTTTTCTACAAACTAAACAGCCCAAGGGATGCTTTGTTATGATATGTTCCTGATTTTGCTTTAAAACTCACAACAGTGCTTCTTATAAATCATGAAAGGGAAGGGACTTCCTAGCTAGTGGAACAGAACTTTAGAGAGCTTGGAATGCCAAGCTGGCTGCCTTTGCTGCTCCACCCGAAACCACATCCAAACCACTTAAGCTAAGTGACGCCCTACGACATGAGATTCATTCCTGATAAGTAAACAATACACCACCCTTGCTGGGAAGTGGAATTTTAAGACTGGAACAATTTCTCTTGAGTTACTTTGTGCTGGCATAATCCGTTCCCCTATAACTCCTGATAAAAATCAAGGTATCCAAACTGATTTAAAAAAAAATACATGGAAACACTGTATTTTTAGTTTTCTTGATCTTCATTCTATCTCACATTTTAAAGTCTGCCACACTGTGGAGGAAGATCTTAGTAGGGAACAGCTGAACAACCCAGTTTGCCTTTTATATGTTAGTTATTTGTCTGAAACTGTGTAATTTTTGTAGTGTCTAAGATCATTATTAAAAGATTAGAGGAAGTTTTGCTCAGCTTGTTGACCTTGGGTCACATGGCACCATTTTATATGGAGTCAGTTTCAGCATTCACCCCTACCCCTGTTCCTGCAAGCTGCTACACACAGAGCCCCTTTTAAGACAGACCCAAAATGGACTCATAGGTCTGCCATTGGGGAGTACCTTGAGAACTGAGGTGCATGTTAGTTTTCCTGTTTTTGAGTTTGTTTTAAAGTGTTGTAAGTACTACACTTACCACTTTTGTTGGTATAACTTATGTCCCTGAGAGATATGAATAAGCCAGCCCTCTGAGGATATGTTTACACTAGCCCCCTAGTTCAAACTAGGGAGGCTAATGTAGGAATTCGAAGTTGCAAATCAAGGCCAGGATGTAAATATCCCGTGCTTGATTTACATCTACCTGGCCGGTCGCCATTTTTTGAAATTTACAAGTCCAGACTAACTGCCCACGTCTACACGTAGCAGGGACCCAGTAGTTCGAATTAAAGCTCTAGTTCAAACTACCTGTTAAACCTCATTCCAGGAGGAATAACAGGTAGTTCAAACTAGGGATTTAATTCAAACTTCCGAGTCCATGCCGCATATAGACACGGGCAGTTAGTCCGGACTTGTAAATTTCAAAAAATGGCGACCGGCCAGGTAGATGTAAATCAAGCACGGGATATTTACATCCTGGCCTTGATTTGCAACTTCGAATGCCTACATTAACCTCCCTAGTTTTAACTAGGGGGCTAGTGTAGACATACCCTGAGAGACAGACAGCGTAAGTTATACCAACCTTAGGGTACATCTAGATAACATCCCTCTTTCAAAAGAGGGATGTAAATTAGACACTTCGAAATTGCAAATGAAACCAGGATTTGAATTTCCTGTGCTTTACTTGCATATTCACATCATGGCACTCTTTTGAAAAAGCGCTATTTCTAGAAGCCTTTTTCAAAAGATCCTGTAAACCTTCTATTTTTGAAAGAACCACGTCTAGACTGTGGTTTTACTTTCTAAATAGCGCTTTTTCGAAAGAGTGCCATGACACGAATATGCAAATGAAGTGCGGGAAATTCAAATCCCGGCTTCATTTGCAATTTCGAAGTGTCTCATTTACATTCCTCTGTCAATAGAGGGATGTAATCTAGACATAGCCTTAGTGTCAAGGCACCATATTGGAGGGAGAGCTTCTCCCAATGATATGTCTTCTACCTCTCATGGAAGTGTACCACCGGTTGTACCACTTCCAACCGGAAGAGCTCTGTCCCATCAGCATAGGGGGCGCTGTCATGCGGCAGTGCTGTTAATGTAAACTAGCCCATAATCTGAGTTTTCCTGTTATATTGTCTTTATTCCTCTGTTATTGTTGTGAAAACTGAGACTGTTGGGTAAGTATAGTACTTAAAATACTTTAAAACATGTTTTTGCTGTTTTTTGCTTTCTTCTTTTTTAAGTTGGCTAAATTTCATGTTAATAGTCTCTCTCTATGTACATATAAACGTTTTTCCTGATGGATGACAGAATATTCCTGCCAGGCGACAGAAAGACGTCATTATGTCGTCCGTGTTAACAGGCTCTCTCAGCGAAGTGAAAGCAGCCAGAGAGAAGGGAGGGGTGTAGACAAGTGTAGCGAGCAGAGGGTGCAGCCCCTTAGTATTCCTTTAAGATCAGTTTTCCAGTCAGGTACATTTCTCCAAAAACTTTACAAAGGTAACCATGCCATTTAAATTAGCGCTGCTTTTCTGGAGTTGTTCCTCCTCTGCTGCCCTGTCACTTCCTTCCCCCTCCCCCCTATCCAAGGGACACTATACTCAGGTTAGCACCAACTTTCACAAATTTCAATTTATAAAATAAAAATAAATTGTATGAAAAAATGTAAGAACAACAAGAAGTCCTGTGGCACCTTAGGGTATGTCTACACTAGCCACCCTAGTTTGAACTAGGGTGGCTAGTGTAGACATACACTTATAGACTAAGATATATTGGCGCATAAGCTTTCGTGGGCAAAGACCCACTTCGTCAGATGCATGTAGTGGAAATTCCAGAGGCAGGTATAAATATACAGGCATAAGAAAGAGTTCCAATCAAGAGTAAGATTAGAGATAACAAGGTCAATTCAGTCAGGGTGGATGAGGCCCACTTCTAGCAGCTGATGTGAAAGTGTGATCACCACAACTGAATTGACCTCGTTATCTCTAACCTTACTCTTGATTAGAACTCTTTTCTTATGCCTCTATATTTTTCCCTGCCTCTGGAATTTCCACTACATGCATCTGATGAAGTGGGTCTTTGCCCAATATATCTGTTAGTCTATAAGGTGCCACAGGACTTTCTCAATGTTCTTGCAGATTCAGACTAACGCGGCTACCCCTCTGATACATGAAAAAATTTGTTAGTGAACATATGCTTTCAAATAAATACATGCACTGGAGAGTATTATACTGCTGTACTGGCAGCAAAATATGTCTGAGGAAGATTTCCCATTAGATTACATTATGGAGGAATGAAGACTAGTGGTTACAGTAGGGGGGTTAGATTCATGACTCAAGGATTCTGTTCCAGAGTCTGCCCCTGATATGGTGTGTGACTTACAGAAAATCACTTTTAACCAATATAACATAGTTGTAGCAATATAATGGTTTTGCAGTGATGATGGGTTGTACATAAATCTCAGTGAAATAGAAGAGGATGAAGGAATTACCTTCACCCACTCTGTTGTATTCATTGGTGCATCTTTTTACCTGTTACTGTGAAGCTATGTTTTATAGGCACAGTATAGTGCCTATTTGTAAAAAGTAGTTGAGGTAGCCATATAAAAGGTGCTAGAGAAATGCAGTGTGTTACTTGTGAAGCTTTGTCCATGAATATGATCTGTGAACTTTCAGTTAATGTTGCTGTCTTGTCACTCCAAAAGACACCATTCTTTTCTTTAGTTACATTAAAAATTGCTGAGCATGAAAACAAGGCATTTGGGAATACAACTACTCAATTATTTGTGCACCATCAGATCTAGGTCTACACATGACGTTATTCTGAAATCACTATTCAGAAATTGTTCTTCCTGAATAACTCCATATGTAGTTGTAAGGGTGACAATTTTAACCTTAAAGTTTTCAGTATTTGCAAAGAGGAAGTGTGTGTGTACATATAATAAATATTAACACCCAAGACCCATTATGCTCAGTACTGTGTTAACACAGAATAAAAAGAGGGTCCTTGCAATCTAAATATAAGGCAAGAAACAACAGATGAGTACAGATAAGTGAGATGTACAAAGAAATGACAAGATAGGCACAATAGACAGTTGTTTCAGCACACCAACTCCCTTATTATTATTGGGGTTTTTTTTGTAGGTTTAATTTCAAAAGAAAATTCTGAGGATGGTTTCAGAGATGGGTGATGAATGTTTATGAGGAGCTCCTATCGAGCATGTGGGGTACCATGGAAAAATGTAACAAGTGGGTGATGGAGGCTGTCATCTGGGGTGGATTGGAAGTGAGCATTGATAGCTCAACAGTGAATCAGAGATGTATACAGATCTTTCTGCTTCAAATAAAGAAATAATTCAGAATATTGTTACCTGCTATGCCACTGGAATTTAGTTTCCGTACATACAGGTAATTGATAGAATCATTGACAGTATTTTAATGTAATTAACTAGTGGTGGTAACTGTGTACTCAACAACATTAATTCCTAAACTTTTGTGAATGTTCATGTTAGGGATTTATCAAATTCATGTGCCAACATTCTCATTGTAGTGAACTTACAGAAACCAGTGGACTGGTTCTGATCTACAGCACTGTCTTTGAACTGATCCAATTTTTTTTTTCCTTTTAAGTTGACCCTTGCTTCTCTTTTTTTCTTCTTCCTTAGGACATTAACACCTTTGAGAACAGAATGTTAATGCTTGATGGGATGCCGGCAGTCAGAGTCAAAACAGAACTGTTGGAATCTGAACAAGGTGTAAGTAGGGGTTTCCAGACAAATCCCCCGTTTCCTTTTCACTGTTTTGGTAATCATTTCAGACTTCCCAGTTGACCGCTTCTCCCCAACATGGTGTGCTCTTCTCTTCTCTCTGTTGTCTTCCTGAGACTAGTTCTCTGGGAAACTCAATTTCATCCATTGGGAGTGGAGAGCAATTTGTACTCTAAGAAGATACATTGAAACTTTTGGGAATTATGTAGATTGTTATTTTTGTATAGCTTGGCAAACGTTTTGAAAGTGCTGTCGAAAATACTGAATAAAAAAGTGAGTGGTGGGTACAGTAGACTACATTCTACTCTCTGTTATTCTTAATGTTTTGTTGCACATGATAGTGAATTTTGGGGAACTTGCCAAGTAGCAGCTGTCCTATCTCTCCTTCCTGTGTCCACCTGGCAAACTCCATGCTTTTCATGCAAAACCACTTCATTTTTCGAATGGAATACAGCTGATTTGAGTGATTATGAAAATATAGGAGGAGGTGATCTCTGTTTAATCTGATCTCATGGAAGACTTCTAATATTGGGACAGAGACATTGAACTGGATTTTGTATTCAGTGGTGGGCAAATGCTGAATGCTAGGATGTTAAAATCACAGCAGCCAATGTTTCTAAGCTATCGCATTTTACACTAGCTGAAGCTTTTCCAGGAGGTGTTAGCTCATTCTTAGATATGAGTTGCAAGAATTAAGCCTGGAAATCATGAATGTATGGATGATCATGGAGATGGCTGACAATGGTGACAGGGTACTTGTTTTATGGCAGTCCCTCTTTACGTGTCCGGTAGTATTGAGAAGTCCAAAGGGATTTGAATATTGCACAGCAATGTAACCTTCTGAAGATGAATGCCCTCATTAGGCATCAGACATAAAAGCAGGGGTAATTTTGTTGAGATTTAGAGATGACTGTTAGCTGCTAGCCAGTCAGACTGTGTTTTTCCAGATCCTCTCCTGGTGGTTTCATTAGATTTTGAACAATACAGGGGAGAGGATTGAGCCCTGTGGGGCTCACTTTGGCAGTGGAAGAACAGTTGCCTAAGATATCTTAGCTTCATTCTGACAGGAAAGATGCTATTTAAGCGAATTTTGGTTTATCCGTGTAGCTTGTTAAAGGTAATACTGGAGCACACTCAGCACCCAGAGGAAGATGGACTAATGCAATACAACCTGGAAGGTGAGAAGTCAACAAAATTAAGCACTTTTTATAAACCATAATGCTGAACAGACAGACTGATTAGTGGTAATTTTTAAAATATCTACTGGAGGGTTTGCATGATGCCCATGTACATTGATACTCTTTCTTAATACTGACTGGAAGGCAAATATATACTTAAGGTATGTGTTTTTATAGAGAAAAGCAAATAGTTATCCTAAGTACTGCATGTTCCCTTAATAAAAAAGCTTCCATAGAATCATAGAATCATAGAATAATAGGACTGGAAGGGACCTCAAGAGGTCATCGAGTCCAGCCCCCCGCCCTCAAGGCAAGACCAAGCTCCGTCTACACCATCCCTGACAGATGTCTATCTAACCTGTTCTTAAATATCTCCAGAGAGGGAGATTCCACCACCTCCCTTGGAAATTTATTCCAATATTTGACCACCCTGACAGTTAGGAATTTTTTCCTAATGTCCAATCTAAACCTCCCTTGCTGCACTTTAAGCCCATTACTCCTTGTCCTGTCCTCAGAAACCAAGAGGAACAAATTTTCTCCTTCCTCCTTGTGACACCCTTTTAGATATTTGAAAACCGCTATCATGTCCCCCCTTAATCTTCTTTTTTCCAAACTAAACAAGCCCAGTTCATGAAGCCTGGCTTCATAGGTCATGTTCTCTAAACCTTTAATCATTCTTGTCGCTCTTCTCTGTACCCTTTCCAATTTCTCCACCTCTTTCTGGAAATGTGGCGCCCAGAACTGGACACAGTACTCCAGCTGAGGCCTAACGAGTGCAGAGTAGAGCCATACTTCAGTCAGGTGTGAGCTGATACCAAAAGGCCTACTTGGGGCGCGGAGTGTCTTAGAAACTGGAAGGAAATTACAGTTTATTCAGTTTCCTAATTTCCTTGGTTCTTATCTAAATACAATTGTATGGATTTTTGCATGTTCAGAAAATGATGTTACTGCTCTTTTTCCAGTAATTAAGGACTGGACAAAGACTGAAATTTAGTTTGGAAGTTTTTGTGCTTTGCTGCAAATTGAGGCAGGATAGTAGTGTCTAGTCAGAAGGAAAACATACCTTTATGACTGTTTAAGGGGCAACCAACCAATAGGCCATGAAAGTGATGATTTAGGCTGAATAGTAGGAAAACCTTACTGAATAGAATCTGTTACACTGTAAAATAGTTTTAATTAATTAATTAATTAATTTCTATTGCAGTAGTGTCCAGAACTCCCAGACAAGGTCAGAACTCCATTGTGCTAGATGTGGTAGTAACACATAGGAAGCCATGGTCTCTATGCTAGGAATTTACTATCTTAGTTACGTAAAAGAATGGTGGAAACTCCTTTTCTGTTTGTTTAAAATTACTATAGACTAGGCCACTGAAAACTGTACCAATAAAAACCAATCCTTCATTGTTGGTGAGATGAAATAATGCAAGGAAGTGTATTAATATAACATACTGAAATTAAAACTGGTGGAAAAAGAGGTAGTACAAGTATGAATAAAAGTTGAATAGAAGTTGAAAAATGAAAGAATTTGAGGATGCAGAAGCTGCAAAGGGAGGTGGACTTTTAATGTAAACTGCAACAGAGTTACTAGAGATTTCTTGTCTGCTTTGGGTTTTGAAGCTTAGGTTATAAATTTTAGGATTCAGACATAGCCAGAAGATTTTTTTACACAAGAAACAGATTTGTGAATTACTACAGGAATCAGATAATGGTGTCTGACTGCTGCTTGTCATAAAAGGCTATAATCCTGTTTGTTGATGATATTGCTTTCCATGAAAATACACAACACAAATATGAACATTTGTCTTCCGGTATACCAGCTGCTTTGATAATAGAGATAATCCGAGTATGTAACATTCTCAAAAACAGCATTGTTAATAAACGGGTTGAGCCTCTAAAATCTGGGACTCTCTGGTCTGGCAACATCCATGGCACAGCAGGACCATGGATATTGCTGGACCAGAGAGCCCCTGCTTGCCAGTCTCTGATGTGCAGCTCATGCAGCGTTACACAGTGGGAAGTGCAGCCTCAGTGGGCCAGCATGGTGAGGAGCACAGTCCTGGCCAGGGCTGAGAGCAAGGAGTGCAGCCCCAGTCTGACCTAGAGGCAGTGGGGCCAGAGGCCAGGAGCACAGCCCTGGCTGGGGCTGGCGTGATGGGAAAACCAGCCTCGATCAGGGCTGTTGTGGCGGGTGGGGTGGAAGGCAGGGGCACAGCCCTGGTCAGGGTTGGCAGCAAGGAGTGCAGTCCCAGCCAGGACTGGAGGCAGAGTGGCCAGCAGCTGGGTGCCCAAGCTGAGACTGGAAGCAGCAGGGCCAGCTTCTGTCTGGGGCTGGTGCAGTGGGGGGACACAGCCTTGGCCAGGGCTGGCACGAAGGGGGGCTGGAGACATCAGGGCAGGGGCAGAGAGCACGGCCCCCACTGGGAGTAGTGCTAACAGCCAAGTAGGGAGCCTTGACCTCCCCTTGTCCTGCAAACTTCATGGTTTGGGCTCTCTGGCCCTTGTCCGGCACCACTCAGATGCCGAGGGTGCCGGACAAGGGTGGTTCGACCCATACAGTTACTCTGGTGATGTATTAATGTAATGTATTAATTCAAGAGCTGTGTGTTGGAAAACTTAGAGTATTTGACTCAATCAAGATGTGCCCAATTTTTGTTGCCATCCGTATCTTGACTTCAATTCCACTTTTGGAAGTAGGTTTTGGTAGGGGCTTGTCTTCACCACAGTGTTAGCTTGATTTTTTTGCATGCAAATTAATTCCTCTTGTGTTAGCCTAGGTTGCATGAGAGTGGGCCTGCTCTAAAACAGTGTTTGAGTTGCACAGAGAGATTGTATTAGCTACACAGAGTTGCCTATCCCCACTGCATTACTAGTGCTAGCAGCACTTCAAATCAGCCTACCCCAGTACTCCCCAACAGCTGAGCTAAAGTGGAGTTGAAAGCATTATTAAACTTGAGTTAAATGAGTGGAGAAGAGTTAGGTTAAGGACAACACTTGAGTTGTATCTCAGGCAAATATGGCAATGAAGACAAGATCTGGCAGAGATAGTGATCACTAGGCAAATATGAAGGAGTTGCAAGGAGAAAGGATTTTCTATTTGCTTTGAAAAATGTTAAGCAGTTGAACGCTGAATAGCTTTACTGATTTAGCATAAATTTATAATTTTTAGAAAGCATCAACATTAGTGAGAGTAGATGCTTATTTTTCTAGTGAATACTATCCTTAATTTTACATGGGAAATTTAGTGCGAACTATTGTATGGTGCCTCAAAAAGACACAGTGCTGCTTTAATGACTATCATAAGTGAAGAAAAGGCCTTACAATAAAAGCTACTGCATTGCCCTTTAACAAAGCTTCATTATTACCTCTCCTACTGTGGAACAAGAACTAGCATTGCTCATAAATTGGTAGAATTACCTTAGAAATCTGAATTTGCTTATCATTTAATATTCTCTGGTGTCCTACAGTTTGAGCTCTTTTGATCTTCAGTAAAATCTTTGTCTGGCATTACCCAGATTCAGAGAGAAACATATGAGAAGCAACCTAGCTTTTTACATGATATGATGCCTTTCAGAATGTAAAAAGTGTATGTCCATGCTGTACCAAGAAATATTTTGAAACCCCCCCCCCCCCCTGCAGCAAAGTTAGTGACAGAGAATTCATTAACAGAATTAATGTTAAGCAATGGGTTAAAATGTAAGGTGCTAAGGTTTGAATATGAAGCCCTAACACATATTGCAGTTTATAAGGTTCAGATCCTGAAAAAATTTAAGAATGTGCCTAACTCTTCTCATATAAGTTACACATTTGCTT